GTATTAGCAGTGTCCTACGAACGTGCACAAGTGTTCCAACTAAGTACATCAGCGGTAGTGTTTACTACGATTTCGGATTGGAAATAAATCTGCAAAGATTAGTTGAACTCCCGTTGTGTACTTGTCATTTAGGTTCATTGAATTTGCATATTAATGTGGACGGACCTTCGATTTAAAAGAACTCTATTCAACAACTCTGACCTATGACGCATCTTTACCCCTGGATTTAGTGACGTGTTCATGGTAGGTATCTACGGAGTAAATACGAGGCCAGCAGAATTCAACGAAATATCTGCAGACAACATTTCTGAATTAAAAGAAATGACTGACGTGCGGCTGCACAGTGTTAAGTTCAATAGACACATAGTTATTAAACTGGTTGCTGTAATCTGTGACTCCCCTGCTTGTTAGGATGTTAAATCCACAGTTAATTCAATTGAAAAGTAGGGTGAGTTAGCTGTGATGTAGTGAGTCGACGATTTGATGGAAGAATGACGCTCCAAACGGTGGATATACGTTGCTAACGGATGGTCCAATTAACATGGTGTAATTAGGTGCGACAAAGAAACTAACCAATCTATGGGTAGATTTTTCTCTTAAAATATTTAGAAACATGAACAAATTTGTGATTATGGATATAAATAAGTAAACGTCAAGTTGTGTCGCAATTACTCCTTCAGACTTTAAGTGTAAATGTCGGACATTAGACTTCGTCTCAGTATGGAAAAGGACAGACTGTCGATTGTCCCTTCTGTATTTAGACCCCGTAATTATTAAAAATTGTTTACTTCAACCGCCGTGCCCAAATTTCAAGAGTTTAGCATTAGCGACGTGCTTTTTGGCACATTCCAGACCATAAAGCGGAGCAACAGATTCGGTCAAAAAGGATTTGCCCAATTTTACTAAGGAACATGAACGATGCTATGGATCTAAAAACTTAGTCTATAATGTGCCTTTGTTGAGCCTCTTCTTGGTGACGTTCGTACACACGAAGCTTTAGAACACCAAAATAACTTCATTTAAGCCGGATATTGTAATAATCGTACAGTGAAGGTTCGGCCTTTTAAATGATGTAGGGGAAAACAGATTAATGAATTTTAGACCATCCACAGACCCATATGATTATTTCGATGAACCATTCTTTCTAGTGACATCGAAATATTTATGTGTTCAGTAGTCAGTCATGAGTACCTATGGGTTTCTATTAAGGATGTTGACTGTAAATGGATAACCGTTAACTGTGTAGTGATTGTTTTATTGCTATATACGTTCATGTGGATACACTTCTTTAATTCTTGCTTATGCTATTACTTTAAACGATTTCCTTACCTTTTATGTAATGTTTTGCCGAGAACTAAGCACATTGTACTTATCGACGCACCAAGCAGGAAGCAGGCTCTAATTACAGCTAAACGAGGAATTGTGGGCAAATAACATTGTCTCTGTCCTACAGATATTGTAGATATGCACCTACAGGACAATGCCCAGTCACATAACAATGGGTCAATCCTGAGGTTCAAGGTCATTCACCACTGTAACGAGTTAAAAATATAGAAACAATCATTTCCTGTGGACCGTTTCCAGACTTAAAAGGATTCTCTAAATAAACGGAATACACGCATTAAGACATTAGTTAAGAAAGGTTAGTTCAGCGAAGAGTCCTCTTCGCTGAACTAACCTTTCTTAATTAAAATGATTTGGCGGTTTCGTTCAACAACTTGGCTGCTTAGCGTGTCAGCAGTTTTACGGACGAAAACACTTTGTCAGTAAACGAAGGGGGACCGAAGAGGTTAGTATAGTAATCTTAATAATATTTCGTAGAGATGCAAAAAAGAAGGGTTTCTGTACAATTTCGTTGACGTAGGCTGAAACTAGCCACGTTTCATACCCTAAATTCCGGTTTTTGATCACTTTTGTCCCACCACTTGTCAAGTAGGTGTGTTTTCTCCAAAAATGTTAATAGAATACTTCGACACAGTTGGATGCGTCTGCCTCAATTCCCGAGTCTGGGCGTGTGAGCAGTGCGTAGGCGACCGAGTAGGTGACATATCCCAGGTTATGTGTTGTTAATTAGGCACGAGTACTTAATTACAAGTGCATTTAAAATCAGACAGGCTTTCTCAACACTCACTAGTGAGTGTTTAGCTCAAAGGGTTTCGCATGTGCATGTTTAAAAAACGTTTATTGATAACGAAGTTGAACATTAAAAATATCCAACTAGTAATGCCTTTTTGTAACGCCTGTTGGTCTATTGAAAAGCAGAGTAATTTTCTTGTGAATTTTCAAATTCAATGAACACCAAAATTAAAACGATATCTAACAGCTATTGCTATTTTAATCAACTATCTAAGTGAAGTTTTACTTACGGTCATCTTTGTTAACACTGAACATTGTACCTATAGAACGGTAGAGAATAATTGTCACTTCAAATTAATACACACATGCTCTTGTTTTATTCGATAACACTTTTGTATTTTGTCTCTCATGTTGTGAAAGTACATTTGCGACGCGATGTCACACAGTTTCCCAAGGTCTTTTTGGTTGACGGATGAGGACAGGAACCGAATAGTTAATGCGCCGTATAATCTGCACTTTTCGACGAAGTGCCAAGTAATATTAAATGGCTGGCAACTTCAGGTGTCATGACGTATGACAAAATACAGCGCATAGATGTTTTATGGTTATCATCTATTAACCGCGTCAACATGGCCATCTGAAATACGAACAAACCATCCCATTATTTTGTTGACTTACGAATTTATCTCTTATCTTCTGTCTGAAGACAAGCGTCTAACGTTCCCATTACCTCTCCAGATGACAAAAAAGTGCTGACTTGATAGTCCACAATTGAATCGCTACAGATGTTTACGCCCATCAGACTTCGGTAGTAGCTGCCTCGTGTTGGCACTCAAATCTGCAACAGCCGACGATGTTATGCGGTACAATATACAGTCTATCAAACCTTAAAAACTTAACACAGTCGACACATGACTTACTCGGCCGCTAACACACTTCCTACACTAGATTCGGACGTTGGGGGCAACGTATCCAACTGCGTCGATTTAGCTAGTTAACATCTCCAAAGTAAACCCACCTACTTGGCAATGGTGTCAAACAACTGAAATTTAGGATATTGGATCAAGTAGGGTGCACCTGGTTTTTATTTCCCGCGTACCAGTTGGTGGCACTTGCAGAAGGTACTGTCGAGGCGCAGGTGAACAATGTTAGTGTTTTGTATCATAATAGTGTTCAACTTGGAAAAGGGTATGTTCGATGCGCATTTCTAGACTATATGTCCGCCTTGGACTCCCTTACAACACAACAATTTACAGGTTTATCAGCGTCGACACCGACAGTTGGATAACCAACTAGCTGTTCCTACTTCTTTGGGAAAAAATAGTAGCGTTTAGACGGAAGTGTTCAGTGTCTCTACTGACTCATGGTGTGCCATAAGGAGCTGTTCTTTCCTCTTTATTTTCGCCATGACCTACCATCTTCCTTAAAAAACACTTTTTCTAAATATGCAGTCGATATCAAAGTATGTATGTATCATCTTGAAATGAATGAGATATTGTCTGTTAGTGAACGATGGTCTGTTCCTAATGGTTTCACACTTAATCTTTCTAAACTATTAACTTTATCTTGAGTCATGAACAGCATTCAAACACCCTGTTAGAATCCCACAAAACTCGTATTCTAGTTTAAGCTTTCCCTCTGATCTTTCTTGGTGTTCCCATGTTTTCGTATCGAAGAAAGTTTCATGTCCGACTTATTACACATAAAAGTTACATGCTATTGGCTTTATTCAGCACTTACTTTCGCGACTTGTTAATTCTTTATTGTTATCCATTATTTTCCCCGAGCTTATAAGAAGACATTGCTGTATTGTGCAGAGTGCTGAAGGCATTTAGCAGGGTGTGGTGGACCTTCTCAGGTCATTAATAATATGGTTGCGGATAGACAACTAAAATCTTGCGAACTCCTGGCAGGTGTTATTTTACCAGATACTAACCATCCATATCTTTCTCATTGTATACTGGTACAACATGATGTCAATACATTATAATCCATGCACGAAAGCAAATATATAAAGGCTCTACACTACCTTATCTAGCAAATATACCCCGAACCAAGGTTTAATGTTATTTGGTACCCATCAGCAAGATGTACCTGTAATTTTGAGGGAACTGATGCTCCCTATCGGATTCGATCTCATATAACCCAGAGTCCATCTAACGTTGAAACATAAAACAGAACGGCTTTGTCAGTCGCAACATGACACTAAAACAACTTAGATATAAAGGTATACAGCCCCGAGAATTTGGAGAAATAGCCAACAGCTATTTTGTGCTTTTTAGCAGTTGTCACCGGATATCCAACTATCCAATAAGATTACAAATAAAAGTGAATACAAACAAAATTGATTAATTGCATATTAAATTTGTGACTAATTTACTTGTATTTAAATACAGAATGCATGTAACCAAATGGAAGACAGTAAATAAAATATAGGAAGATGTTAAGCAACGACAATCGTATCATTCGAAATTTCAACTCACGATACAAACACATTAGAAGCAAAATCAAATGGAAGTGTAACTCTTGACTACCTTGAAATGGCTATTTTTCGATTATGAACATGAAGGAAACAATTATAAGAATTGAGATTATTTTTATTATTTTGGACTCATAATGTGGTGATGTGTTCATCATGAGTATATATTAGTAACGATGATCAAACAAAGCCAGATATACATGTTGAAATTATGTCAACAGATACATTACAACAGTGAAATGGACTAAAATAAACAAACCAAACTGAAAATAATAACAGGATATACATAAATAAATGTGCACATGTAAACCAACTTAATAATACTAGGCTAATTCTGTAGCTTACAGAAGCAAAATAGATGGGAAAAATAAGTAGGTAAATTAAAGGCAAATTAAAGTGGAAATCAGTACAATGTTCAAACGTACTTACATATTCACGTAAAAATTTAATTTTTATTACGCCGTAGTTGCCGAGAAACACGATCTAAATTAAATTTGACATGTTCCCTGGTACGTACACGTGCATCGCTAGTCTCTAAATCTAAGCCCAGACGAACTAAACGTGGATTGGCTAGTATTAATTCGGTCAAATTTTGTTCAATTTTTACACCGAGCACAGATTGACGTTGATTAGCTAAATGCAAATCGGTTATTCCACTTTTTTCATGGCTAATTGACTCCAATAAACGAACGAGGATAACACCTGAAATATAAAAAAGCATGATAGATAAGTAGTTTGGTGAATTAAAAGTAAAACAGTAGTTGTTTTTAAAAGGAAACTACCTAAGTACATTATCATCGTTCGTTTTGTTCACTGACTACATTTCATTCATATTGAACAACCCACTGACTCTATATGAACATTAGGTAATCTATAGACAAACAAACTCCTCGAGTCCAGTTCTTTCTACCTTGGTCGCGGGAATATGTTGGATAAAATAAACTTGAATACACATATCTACTATCTGCTCTTGCTTTTGTCATCAATAAAACGCACCACACAAAAGATATGACAACAATGAGCGAAAAGTCACCTTACTGAGAAAGATGTTGTTGATTGGCTTAAGACAACCAGACTGTTAGAACATTTTTGTTGGGGTTAGGCATAGGATTCTAGGTAAAGATGACAAATTGGTCGATAAAATTGTGAATCTTCATGGAATGAGGTGGTTAAGACATATGTCAAGTATGTCCAACCACCACCTATCTTCACGACATGTTCTCACTGGTATAGATACAAGTTTGGTCAGATAAAAAAAGTAGCACCAGTGCATCACGTCACCAACTATAGGACTTGGCTACGTTAGTAAGTACGGACTAACTGCTTGGGTTCCGCACAACTGCGATCAGGGTTTGGAGACATGGCTTATGATGGTTTACAATGGCGCACATGCATCACAGACGAGCACAAACTTTTCCTGCTTCGGTTTGGGCACCCAGGCAGTATCCCAACCCTCACACAAACCGAATGATTTATGTAGTGCATATCTGTTTGGTACTTCCTTTTACCAATATTTGTGTTTAAATAAAGAAATAAACATGCATTCACTCTTTATCTTACTTTAGATCGTATGTTAAAGAACTCTACTACATATACTTTATTATTCTGCATTTTCAAACCATATTCTCAACATCCAGTCTTTCGCATCGTGGCACGGTAATTAGAATCAATGCACATTAGTGGCAGAATATACATTATGACACTGAAAACACTCGCAAATCGAGTGAAGTTTGAAAAGAACAAACCAATTCTGGATAGTTGAGCCATAAAACTAATTGGTTTATGTTCACTAATAACTGTATTTTGAAGTCTAAAATCCTGTCCTAAAGGAAGCAACATTTGTGACACCAAACGTAAACCTGTGGCTGAGAGAAAACTATCACTCAGAGAAAAACAATATGAAAAAGCTTATCGTTCCTAATAGGATGCTGTACAATATACACATAAACACATCTGGAATCAAAAATCTAGTGGAAGTTACACATTTTTGATATTGATTGACACTTGCATAAACAAGAACTGTATGATAAGACAACAAGCATGTGCTTGTATGTGTACGTTTATATGTATTACATAGGTATATGTACAGGGAAGTCACATGTAAATGTTTACAAATATATAAGAAAGTAGACTTTATAGAATCAAAATAAGGTTCAATTAATGTTGACATAATACCTCAGTCAGCTTCAACGTAGGACCAGGCACATAAATACATATATGCATAATACCTCACTTTTACGGAAAAAAAAATTTTTAATAACACACTGTAAAAAGTAACGAATGGATATATTATAACCTCGAAAAACCCTTATCATTATTCCAGTAACACGGAACAGAGTAATGACTCACTCAGACCTAGGAAAAGCTGGATCGTTAAACGATGAATAGCACAACATCAACGGAAGCTTCGTAACTGAACTATTCAGCTCATAGTACACAATACAAAAATATGTCTGTATACCAACCTCATCGAATGTAAGATGCTTCGAATCTGCTATTTCATTGCGGTATTTTAGCACATATTACACTCCTATGGTTCTTGATACGTTATGGCAATATGTTTACGTCTACTAATGACTGAATTTATTCTTATGAATTGAGGCATGTCAAATTCCGCTTGTAATTTTAATATTTGTTCACAGTAAATATAATGTTTCCGACTAACCAGTCAAAAAGTTCGACTCCAAATTTAATACTTTTAATGCAGTATTTTTTTGCAACATATCAAAGAATGGTTCAACCATTGCGTTTGTTAAACGTGTTGCTGCCATATGCAGTTCAGTTAACTGGTTATTCTTTGTAAGAGCGGCACATAAGCGCTGTACTGCTTCAGCACTTATTGTTTTGATATTGTTTAAATTTAATTTAGTTAGTTCTTCGCTGTTATTTTCCAATTTCTTTATACTATCCTGAAACGTATAAAAGAGAGAAGGAAAAATACAAGCAGTTTAAAGTGAGCAAGTAATAAATGATGAATCCAAGTATGAAGACATGTGAAATTTTGGAGGAATAAAGCAGTCTTTTTGAAATAATAGTTTATTTTTAGGTGAGAGTAAAATTGAACCATAGGATAGAAATAAACAATTATACACCGTAGGTTACAAGATCGGACCTATTTGATTGGAAAACACCATAGAAAATGTTTTGGTATCTACTAGTTTAAATTCTAAAGTATTGAAAATGTAGATACACGAGCAAGTTATAAAAGTGAATGAAGTCCTGGTTACTGACCACTAAATAGAGGGTCTAATGTCGACTAATCATTATCTTTTTGAGACAGCAGTGTTAGCTATAAGTAAAATAGAACCTCCCACACGTGATGATAAGACTACCAAGATGGATAGCAAAGTAGTAGTAACAGCAATGACATCATGGAGAACATGATTTTGATACGCTGGGTCAGCTAGACAGGTCTATAGTTAAACCAACTCTACTAGCCAGCATTTTGCTTAATTTCTTAAGGAAAAAGGCATACGCTATTGGTTGAGAATGTGGCTTTATTTTCTAAGCGAGGAAAATGCATATTTATGGGTGTGTGCATATATTTTAGACTCAGTTTTAGTTAAGAAGGCTTCTTTCTCACTCAAATAGCTGGTTTGGGCTCGCTTATGGGAAGCTTTTATCCCGGTAACAGGATCGAAGGATCAAAAAACATAACAGATATGAGGAGAAAAAACGAAGTCGCTGGATAAGTACAAAACGATTTTAAAATTCAGGATGCGGGAGTACACAAAGAATGACTATCTGGGCCATATGGATAGATTCTAAGCTATTAATCAACGTCTCTAACCACTGATCATGGTGATCGTGCGAACCCGAAGCACCCAGTCTGAACCTACCAATAGGGCTTGGTTCAACAGTCGACGGCTTTATGGCGACAACATAATATCCTTTGTTGAATACATTTATTTAATTAGTATGGATACTGTGCACAATACCGGAATTGAAATGGCAGTGTCAGACAGTTTTTAAAGGCCAGTCGGTTAGGTAATAAATCAAAAAATTGAGTTGAATTGAAAAACGGTCTATTCACTTCCTTTGTTAATCAACAAATTTATTGTAAAAAAAGGCTTGGATGTGTAACTGGACACTAACCCACCGCCTTTGATATTACTAGACATCCTGAGCATACACTTATAAGTAGCAACCTGAAGGTAGAAAATGTCAATCATTTGTGACTGAACCAACATCATACAAAACTGAAGGGTTCACTACGAAAGGCTAAATTACAAAACGTGGTCAGAACAGAGAACGATGATAAGTAGTCTTTAGTGAAGGAAAAAGTGTTAAGTGTCCCTCAATTTTCAAATGATGTTAAGCTACAAAGAAAAAGGATTAACCAAGTAGAGGAAAAAACGAGACAAACCTCTACATCTGTCATATTAGGTGGCTCATCTGGCACGACTTTAGGACGTTCAGCTTTAGCCACACCAGAGAATCCACCCATTTCCAATTTACGTCCTTCTAAACTAGCATGGAACTGTACTTGATTCAGCATCCCAGTAAAACCCAGGACAGCAGCCAAATCAACAAGTTCATCTTCAGTAGCATTTTCAAGAGCCTTAACAAAAATATATATAAATTCACAAAGGTTATGTTACATGACACAATACGGCTAAAATTTTCTTTATCAATACAATAAAAAATGGTGGTAAAAATAAGTGGTCGTCAGAGAAAACTGTACAAACCCCATCGGTTATTCTTTTTTTAATTTTATGTAGACAAGAAAGGAATTACGATCAACAGTTGCAGAGTGAATGGTGTGTAGATAAAAATAAAGCTTATAAATATGAAACAAAGTGGTTATTCACCAGATAATTTAAAATATTGTTAGCTAAAAGTTACCGATCGTGAAAGTCTAAATTAACTGTTAGATAACTTTTGTTTCCTGCCAAAAACTAGCTTCTTAAAAGGCAAACAAACCTCTGAAATTTGAACGGAGTACGAGGAATGACTCCGTGTTTACGAAACACAATGTTAGATTTTGTAGGGTGGTCAGCAGAACTTGTCAACCGGTACTCATCACAGATAATATATAACCGTAATCTAATATAAAAGTTTTACCCGAAAAAATGCTAATACTTTGAGCATGTAAAATTATCAGCTCGAGAAATCATCACAGTTTTCCATCTTAATTTCTGAACAAATATAATTCCAAAAATTACAAAATAACGTCTCACAAAAAACAAACCGAACACAGAACGACAGAATTGACAGGATTACCTACTTATCAATACTATAGACATTACTATTGAGTTTTAGTGTAGGTTTTCGCAACACAACAGACAAAAACATATACATAATTTTGTACGTCAAAAACCAACAGAAATAGATGTGGAAAACCTAACACCATTTCTGAAATGGAGATTCGCTGCGTTGCACTAACGCTTCACACAACCCTGGATGTGTTACATGAAATTATATGCCTATTTTACCAGCAGGAAAGCATTGTGATGCTGACACGGGTATTATCAGTCAGTTATTTAGAGAAGTACTGAGTTATAAACAAATCCGCTTAAGCGGTAGCCAATCCCACTCAAGTTTAATACCTCCCCAATCGACTGAACAAACCTTGAGCACTTAATATTTTTTATTGAAAAAGTATGTGAGGTTTATTTATTGAATGTCTATTTTACTGAAATCATTACTGTAAATAGTGTTTTAAATTAAAAACACGAAGTAACCAGCGTACATACCTTATTTACATCATCATCAAACTCTACATCGAAACCCATTTCAATTAATTCGTTTTGCGTGCTCGGTGAAATAGTTTGTTTTGGTGTATAGACTTTTCCCCTTTTCTTTTTTTCATAAGGCACAGCTTCTTCCCAATCCCTTTCGGCTTTGGCTTTTTCAATGAGATATCTATGTTCCGAAAAATAGTAAAATATTTCGGAAACTCAAAATTTTAGAAAACAACACTTATGCTTATATAGAACGAAAAGTCTGATCATATCTACTGTAGGGAGCAATTTCTGAGCTATTCTGAGCTATTCTCTAGACCGTCGAATACAGAGTCTTGGTTTGGCCAAAGTCAGAACAAGCAAGCTATTTGGCTAGATAAATTTTATCTGTTTCTAAAACACAAATTAACATCGTTAGTGTACAAACAAACTGTACGGTCTATTAATACAGGGAAAAAACAGACAAATAACATACCGAACAGTAGCCAGAGAATAGGAAAAATGAGTCAACAAGCAAATATTGTTTTGCAATGAACATCAAACTGTGATTGGCTAATAAAGAGATACAGTAGTACAAGGTCAAAGAGAGTTAATGTGGTGGTGGGCGTTTCTCTTTATTATTGGTGAGTTCGTCTATCGATCACATTTTACATCTACTGTATTTGGTTTTTGACATGAATATGGATGACTTTGAAAATCGGTCGCGAAGTGTAACTCCCATAGCTCATCTTATCTTAAAAGACATTCAGATGCGGGGAAACATTGTACTCGCTTTATTTCTCTATTACTTTACACATGCTTGGAATGGGAACGCAAAATCGAAGCCACTAAATTGTTAATTCAATGACAATACTTGAAATAAGTAACATTTAAAGGATTGAACAATTAATCCAGCACTATAGGCAAAGATGGATAGTGATTAGCAATATAATCCAAGATGCGCGCTTCGTCCTCTTTTGGACTCTTCAGCTGGATGTCCACTCCGAGACTTGAACCCAGTACCGTTCGCTTCAAACGCCATCGCGTTATCTACTTAGCTACTGGGTTCAGATAGCCACTGGGTTGTGCAATGGGGTGAAGTTCAATCCCTTTTTGTGTCGGCTGTTTGAATCTTCCAATTGACTTTTAGGGCTGCGGTTGATTAGCCCTTTATCGGCATATGTACTGGATTAAAGTCCCGGAGTCAAAATAAACTGAGATTCAGGTACATCTAAACCACGAGTCTCAAATAGGACGAAGCGCGTGTCATGGATTTCACTGCTAGCCACTATCCAACCAAACAGCTGTAACCTTATTCTTCTTCAGTAGAGAGAGAAATACAAAATAAATGAGAATTGAAAACAAACTTACTAGTAAAATCCATACATCGTGTGGTCTATCGACACTAAACGACATCCATTTTATTTATTTGAACACATAAACATTAGTACAAGGGGGCACTTAATACATATTCACCACACAAAAACAATGAGGCCAGTAGTAATTATTGATTTGTATGAGGGCTGTGATACTGCCCAGGTGCCCAGACCGAAGCAGGTGGTTCTCTTAGGGGGTCACACCTCGAGCCTTTGACCTAAAGGTCTAATCCACAACGCGATGGAGCAACTTCAGAAGATGCAGTCACATTGAAGCTAGTGACCAACAATAGGTTCATACACCATCTGTTTCGTCAGGATCCTTGAGCCCATTTGTACCATTGGTTTGGAGTTTAGATTTTCCAACTCTCCTAGGTGGTCACCATATCCACCAACCCGGTTAAAGCGCCGGACATTCGCTCTTCGTTCTCTCGAGTTTGTAAACAACAACCCCGCCGGGAGAAGGCAGTGGACGAGTGTGCGGCCAAATAAGAGCATGTCGAGAGGGAGAGCGGACTCCCCACTCTTGACCGTACCAGGGCATCTGGGGGCTAAAAACGATATCCAAGAACTGATGCTTCCCCAACGAATTCGGGACTGTAAACACCGGCTTGGGTCGGTAATCACTATGAGATAAATGTCGATCGTGGAATTTAGTTCCTGACAAATTTTTTACTAAAGCTGAAACGCTATCCAGCAGCGCTCAAACGAACTTAGAAAAAACCTCGTGTAAAATAAACATTTGAGTCCGGAAAACAAGTGCATGTTTATTAGTATGAAAGCCTATACTTTAACTGGGATCAACCATTATTTTTAAAAAAAACATGAACAATAGTTACCTTAGTAATTTTTCACGATCATAAGGTCCAGTTGGGGTTTTGGTAGTTTGGTCACGACACCTCTGTGAAGGAGGAAGCAGTGAATTGTCGGGATCAAAGTCATCATTAAGCTGCTCCAGCTCCTCTGGTGTTAGCTTAGACAACAATTCATCAATATCTTCATCGTCGTATGAGGTAAGAGCTTTACCAAATAATAACTTATTCGACATCGTCTAGATAGAGAACAGAAATAAACTGCACTTGAAGAATGTATAAAAGACCAGTGTACTTGGATACCGAACCGAAAAGCATTGCACATATGAACCTCATCAAAATGCGCTTTATGCTCTGATTTCAATATATAGCTAGTATTTTGAGGTCATCTTGTGTTTTATTAGAATGTAATATTTGGTTTCAATTTAGTCTGTGTGAAGCGCTTCATGAAACACTGACCCTACTTTGTTTCAGTTATTGAAGTACGTTGAGATTAATATCAGAACCAGCTTTAGCCTTGAAAAACGAAACAGCCAAGTTTCCCGGTAACAGGAATAAAAGCAAAACACTCGTGGGTATCACATACGATTCCCCTGAGCAAAAACTACCGGTATATCTACACCAAAGGACATACCAACCACACTACTGTTATATTTCTTCAAACTTCGTGGTACTATGATTTCCATGCATCATAATGCTTTCCACTACCCATCGGCTATCGATAACCAATGCGTTAACAAACACCCCTTGTTACATTGAGCAGTTATCAATCATAGGTTTTTAGATAACTTAGAAAAGACATGCAGATGCAAAAGCTAAAAACTCAAAAAGGTGTGCGGTAAGAAAACAGTGAGTTGTTGACTGTTAAGTTTAGATAGTTCAACAGACAGAACTTTTGTATTTAATAGAAAGTACAGATGCTAACAGCTTTCGGAAAGGCAATACTGGTATCACTTAGACTGAAGTTAATTCAATTGAAATGACAGTAGCCTTGATGAGCAATGAACGATGAAAACCAAAATTTACCTCAACTGCTACCCCTTTAAAAAGCGCGGCTTGTGAACGAACTGAACTCGCTGATTAGCTCGAATTTTGAATGAATAATATATTAGGATTTTTTGTCGTGTCATATTTCCTAAACCATTAGCTACAATCTTCTAGTTTTTCCCCGCCATATTTTTTAATCTTACGTATTGTTCCTGATTGCTGTCAACTGTTTTTTTATAAATATATGTGCGTTCTATTTGACTGTTTATTCACAGATCTATGTATTTGTCTTCTTCTGGAATCGCATACCCCATTCGTTTAAAGTGCTTCAGGATCTCAATCTAAATGCAACGTATCTGTGGGCTGTAGATTCGGAGAAAATGACAAATAAATTCAAATAAAAAGCAAGAAACAACCTAATATCACAAACACGAAGCCGATTTTATTAACCGTTGTTGAAAATTCATAGTGTGATTATGTTGACACGTCAGTCATCCTTCATAGGATCTACGGGAGTGAGTGTTCGGAACACAACATGCGCTGTTAAAATAACAATCGGTTGATAAGTGGATCACTTGGCAAAATAGTGCCTCATGATTTCTCTTGGGCGACCTAGCTGAAGATGTACAGACAAGGTAGTTAAATGTGCTTGAAGAAAGTCGAACCGCACCGCAAAAGGTGGTATTTTAATTCCATGATGGGAGGGACTTAACACCACGAAATGGACACAAACTGAAAGGGTCAGGCGTCTTTGTCCAGGAAGATTTGTCACTCGCTTACTTTATGAAGAGGCGAGATGTTGAAAATGAACTGAAATCATGATTGTCCGTCGATTTAAAGAAACTTTGCATCGTCTTTGGAAGATGAGACTTCGAGAGAGGATGATGTTGAAGCCATTTGAGCGGTCTCTTGATTTGTCACATATATGACTGGAACTTGTTGAACAAGCGATCGGAGCTAAGTATACAGATGAAATTGACCAAGCCATTTGGTCGACCCATTGTGTAGATAATAGGAAACTTGATTTCTAGAGCCTCAAATAACAAAGGCTGAGAGAATCCAGGACCACGTCCGTAGCATATCTTATGGGAGTGTGATGTACGAAATGGTTATCTGCCGTTAACATTGTAAGAGAAGGGAGCTACTGATTGGTTTGGTTCACAGTAATCCAAACCGAGGTAAATCAAGTCTCACTAGATGGACTCAACGTCTGATCTTTGAGTAGCCGATGCTTAAGTTTAGATGATTTTGCTAGGACTGCATTAGACTGGGGGAATCTTCCAACTGAGCTAAGAGAAAATTATTTTGAACAAGAACTAGTTGATGTGATGATAACACACGTGCCGTAGGGCTACATGTGAAAGCAATAACTAGGTACGGCCCGGACTCCAAATCATTTTTGCTAGGTCTCACATGAATTCATTATGAGTATAACATTACAAACTTCAATTTTATACCAATCCTAGGTAAGACTGATATTAAGGTTTCAATTTTTTATTTTCATATAGCTGTCAATAACGATGTTCCAACTCAAGCTAGTCCAAACCTTTTGGGAAGTAAGCGCACAAAAATTAATACACTCAGCATTCTCAATAGATGAAAAAATAAAATCACATCCTTGTACAAAAACAGCTTGAGAGTTCTTTAAGAGTCTTTACACGATAGCTACGGCACCTCACATCCCTTGACTACATCAACGAATCTAATAAACTCCCTACCATGGCTCAGCAAAGATGTTCACACAATTATGTTTTTAAAAATTCAATGGGGGTAATTTGGTGCTGACGAGAAAATTTTGGAAATCTGGAATGTTTATGTCTCAGCTCTAAGCCAGTCTACAAGATCGTACGAAGAAGAATTTGTTAAGGAGTCTTTAAAATATCCAAAATGCATATATCCGCACACAAATAAAGGAATGAAGAGGAAACTCAAAATTTCATCCAACAAATACAACAAACCTTAGGTACTCTCTGAATACCTGGGCAATATATATGTGGTGGGACATTCTATCTTTATCTTTATATAAATCCCTGAACATTGTGACCATCAAAAGACACGATGTTCTTTGATTGTGAAATATACTTGATTCCGATTAATTCATAGAACTCAACTAAGTCCCTCGTAGGTTACTAATAGAACTGTCAAATGTAGTTGTGAATTTTTTAAAAACCAGTCTTATTCTATGTGTAACCCGAGGTGAATTGCCATAATACCGAGGGAACGCCATAGCAAGACCCTTTTGTAAAATAGGCATGAAATAAGAATTACAGAACTATCATCTAGTAAGCTGAACCCAAGTGGTCACCAATATTCTAGAACACTATTCAGAAAGACATTAAAGAGAAAGAATGTATTTGTAAAATCCGAGCGACTGAATTGGTGAAGTAAATCAAACGTTCCTCCTGGCAACCTGGCTCAAGCTTTTTCAAGGAAATATAATCAAACATCGAAATTATCAAGTTATTCGACATAATTATAATTATTGTGTAACTGGGTCATATATATTTGTATTCGTTTATTCATAGGTTTTCATTTGAATTATTAACCAATTTTATATGATTTGCTGTTCTTAATTTATTCTCAATTTATAAGTTACAGACAGCCACAGCCACTTTCAGCTTGATCTTATATGATTATTATTTTTATTCATATGGTGTGATGAAGTTTGGTCTGCTTGTATATAAGCCACGTATGTCTGAAACATATTATTCATACAGTGGAGGCTGGTGTTGTCTCCTGGATTCAACGGTCAGGGCTAGGCAAGAAGTTATTATATTGAGGTAAGGTATATATTGAATATAGTGGTCAGGATGAGTAGATGACATGTTTTTGTAAACGATATGCACAGACAATGAGTTGTACGAGGATAATGGGCAGAGAATAAATTTTCAGGACTTTTTATTTCTGATTGTTTGCTCATAATTAGCAACTGATTATTCCTTACGCTGAATCTTTTTCAGAGTGATACCTGAAATTTATCCATACGTCAATATGAACTTGCGTTCATGTGGCCAGAAGTGTTACGACAGAGACGTGGAGTATCTTTTATATATTATAAGTTAATTAATTAGTTTCACTCTTATCATTCACCTCTCTATGTTTTTACCAGAATCTTGGATAGCTTGAAACATGCCTTTAACTATAAAATAGCCAACTGACCATCCAAAATCATTCAGATTGCTATTCGTCAGTTATTGGATTATTTGTTATGACCGGTTTAAGTGAACGCACTTCGCCCTGTGTAGATCACCAAAGTAGGCGGTTTGTATGGACTAGTGTGGTCTATTCCAGTTGGACAGCAACTGTGGTCTCTTATTTTATGTCGAAGTCACACACCGCGTTCAATTCCTGATCTACTTTTTCCTGTTGTCGTAAACTTGTCAGTCGACTTCTAAGGCAACTGACTATGCTGAATACTCTAAATAGGAGGCAGCATATATTGGTATGAACAAGTTACAAAGGTTCAAGGGGAAAAACCACTGCCTCATGGTACTACCTATAGCACGCAATTAATTAATGTTCATTGGTTATACGTAACTTTGAAGAGGACCGGAACACTGTTTGACTTTCGGTGACCTGTTTACTAGATGATTTGACTAGAACATAGTGATGCTTTACTAGTAGTTCCACAGTCTTTTTCATAGCTACATACTGAAACCTATGTCGTTTCATCCTCTTTTACTCTTTGTTTTATAATCTGATCATTCTTTTGATCCCCTTCCTCCTGGATTTCCCTTTTCTTCTAAAGAGTAACAAATCTCTCAACTATAATAGCTTTCGAATCAGAACTAGAACTGTTAAATAGGGTAAAAGAGGAAAAAAAAGGTAGATTGAAAGACAGAGGTTGTAGCTCAGGTGGTTGATTTTGATGGAGTTTTCTTCTCTGAGCTGGTTGGTTTGGTCGTGGATCTTTCATAGTTATTCTGAACGACATCATCGGCACAAGCTTCTACCTAAAGTTGTAAAAAAGAAAAGTTTATCAGAAAATAGAGGATATTGTAGCGGTAAATAAATCCCCAAAATAAATAGCCCTGTAAGTTTTCGACATTGGATGCTGACCATATGTTTTAGTGGACTCATCTAGCTGAAGGCGCTCGGACATGCATCCGCACCAGATCACGTGTGGTTGTAGAATTATGGTCTACTATGATATTAGTACTGCCCTTATAATAGACCTAATCCTAAAATTGTAGATTTGTCATGATATAACCGCCTAATCTATAAGATCTTACGTGGAAGTAGTAGTCTCGTGTTCACAGCTTTGTGGATTGTGTGGCTATTGTCCAATGCCACTACATGGTAACGTTGTGCTCAACATCTACCGCAATCGCTAGCCAGATCACATCAGAGAATTCCGATATATTCGTAATCACCAAATACACTCTTCCGATCTCCTCGACTCTGTCTTTTTATTTCTCTGGGTGGGAACGAAATATATTAGAAGGTATTACTGGTAAAAGCGTTGTCAAACACTGAATACCTGTGTAATCTTCAATATCAAGCTATTTATTGAACGAAACCGGAACTGCTATATAGCCTCAAGAAGAGATCACTAATAAGGCGATTGATTGCAGATGTCAGAAGTTTATTCCTTAGTGACGCTACGGTAGGGCACGAAACTGGTCTAGTTGACCTTTTACTTTTATATATAAATGTTCCTAACAAGTATATGTGTGGTCAGATTATTCGAAATGTTTTGCGCTGATATGTCACATAGTTCTGATAATAACTGTCTTCTTATTACACTATGAAAATTTGTCAAAAGACTAATTGCTTTAAAGAACAAAAAACTCAAAAAAGAAACTGCCGATGAATAAATGATAAGATTCTTTTTCAGGATATGCACGAGCACATAATAAGAGGAAAAAGTAGCCACTGGAAAGTTACATTTGGCGTAGTCTTTAATTTGAAGTTTCGAAAAGATAACAATAACCCCTAAATCTCTCCAGCTGTAAAAAAACACGCTGATGAGAAAGCATCTTCAATACGACCAATGACTTCAGAAGTGGTCAAGATTTTCAGTTGGAGAAGGGTCGTCCCCCTTGAAGTGTTTCTAGGAAATCTATTTCCGTGGCCTGCTTGAATATCTACTTCTGCCATCTATTTATTTCAAGAAGTCATCTGTTTTTGTTTTGTTTTAACGCCTTATTATGTCTATTAGTTGCATAACCTATACAGGCGCGTTTATGAAAATCTTACGACCATTCGCTGCACAAGTTACAAAAAAGTACAATAACAGACATCGCGGTGGTTGGCGATATGCATTGAAAAGAATGGGGATTATTCGTATGTCGATGACCGAGCATCCAAATTCTAAATGCTGATCACTAATTAACCAGGTGGACTATCGTCAATTCCTACTAAGTCAAAACATGTATCGTATTTGTGGTGTCATCACAATTCAAGAAACTTGGTTAAATGATTTGCAGGGCGATTGGTTAGTATCACTACGTGACTTCAATATCTATCGTCAGGATCGACCAAACAAGGAAATGAAGTGTGGCGGTGGTGCGCCACTACTACTACCACGTTTTTAAATGTGAACTGGTGTCGATCTACTTTTGCATGTTTCACGTTTCAAAATAATTTTATCGACTGTCCAACTTTAAGATGTCGTCCAATACATCTCAATAAATACAAATATGCTTATTTAACCAATATCTAGGTGACTCCAGAATGCACATCATCTGCGCTATCTGTTTTCGCTGATGAATTCACTGAGCTCTCTGTTACTGCCTTCAGTGATTCACTTTCAGTTGTATGTGTAACCAGTGAGGGCATTAGGGTCCCAGTATGCATGTTTATAATCTCTATATTGACGGGTATTTTGTATGTGTTGTTTATAAGAGAGATAATTTGGGAGAGCATAAACTAATATTTCATGGCCACTGCTCTCAAATTTATTGTATAATTCCGCAGGTTGTGAGATGACATCTCTACTAAACATTAGATCAGGTAAATTACCGCCTTTTGTTGCGGTTCGAACCCACAGTGACAATGTAGTGGTGAATTAATCCTCAAAACAAATAGCTGTGTACGTTTTCGACATCGGATGCTGACCACATTAGTTTTAATTGACTCACCTAGCTGGAGGCACTCTGTCATGCATCCGCACCAGATCACAAGTGGGAACGCCGTGCTCAACAACCCCTGCAATCGCTAACCAGATTAGATCAGACGATCCGCGATATATTGGTAGCCTATCAAATATATCTTCGAACCTCCTCACTTCTGTCATTTGGTTTTACTTGGTGGGTATGCTTCATATTAGGTGTTACTGGTCAAAGCATTGTCAAACTCCGAATACCTGTGGCATCATCATTGGCGACCCCGAAGTGACCTGGTACACCAAATTGCAAACTGTGAGTCTGTTCGTTTTTTAAATTCTGTGTACTATTGCCTTATATTATTATTTTAAAATATTTTGTGATATTTTTCCCCGTGTTTTTAATATGTATTTTTTCAATCTCTCATTCTCGTACTTGATGATGCACCTTGACGGAATAGACACTCAAAGTACTTAAGTTAAAGACTATGTCTCCACCTCCGTTTCAACTGATGCCTTTCTGATCAGATAGCATCAAATCCTGGTTCTGTTACACAGAAGCCGATCTCTACGAGCACGGCATGAAGGACACACGTGCACAAATCCTCGCAGTAGTCAAGGCACTACCGCGCAAATTCAACGGATACGTAACACCTAGCATGTTTACTAGTGACGTTTCTGAACCCTACAAAACACTTAAACGCAAAGACCTGACCGATCGACAAAGGTTAGACCAACTCCTTAATCTCATCGACCTGCAACACGGTTCTGCGACAGACATGTTGCAAAGAATGAGAGAGGTTATCGGCCAGAGAACCTTTGATGATGGCCTATTCAAACAACTTTTATTGTACAGACGTCCTCAACAAGTGCAAGCTGTGCTGATCTCGTTTCAAAACAACGCCTTAGACGAGCTCACTGCATCTGGGCTACCTGTTTCTGCCATCTGATTATTTCAACGTTATCTGTTTTTCATTTGTTTTAACTCATCATCATGTCTATTAGTCGCATAAGCTATTCAGGCGCTTTTATGAAAAGCCTACGACCATTCGCTGCACAAGTTACGGAAAATTACTATAAAAGACATCTTGGTGGTTGACAATATGCGCTAAAGAGGATGAACATAAGTTGTACGTCCATTCCCGAGCTGCCAAATTCTAGCTGCCGATCACTAATCAACAAAGTGGACCATCTGCAACTCCTATTAAGTCAAAATACATATCATAATTGTAGTGTCATCACAATTCAAGAATCTCGGTAAAATGATTTACAGGATGACTGCCTAGTATCACCACGTGATTTTAGAATTTATCGTCAGGATCGGCCGAACAATAAAAAGAGGTGTGGTGGCGGTGTAGCTACGTTTGCAAACATAGACGGTGTCGATCTTCGTTTGTGTGTTTTAAGTTTTCAAATGACTTTATCGACTTTCTAACTCTAAGATGTCGTCCAAAACATCTAAATAAATACAAATATGTTTACGTTACCAATATCTACGTTACTCCAGGTTGCATATCACCTGCACTATCTGTTTTCGCTGATGAATTCACTGAGTTCGCTGTTACTGCCTTCAGTGATTCACTTTCAGTTGTATGTGGTGACTTCAATTCATGTGACTGTAGCTTCCTTACGTCACTAGGTCACCAAAATGCAGTGGACTTTCCTACCCGTTTGGATGCTCATCTAGACTTCGTTTTCATTAATGATGTGGGTATATATGCGACTCGTAAACGTGCTTCATTGTCTAGCTCAGATCACTGTATAATTTAAGTCCTACCTAACGTATATGGAAAGCATGGGAAGAGTACACTCTTACATCGAACCAAGAAAGTCAAATGTAGGAATTACTCAGAAGAAAATATCCGAAATCTGAAAAACATGTTTCATACGACTAACTGGGAATTATTTACAGATGACTCACTCGAAAACAGTACTGATGTTATCACTTGTTACCTTAAATCCTGTTGTGATATTTGTTGTTCCACTGAAACCGTCTTTGTAAGTTTTGATCGACTTATATCTTCACAACTAAAACGACTACGGAGGGTGAAAGAATGTACGAGGATGAAAACTCTAATAAAGTTC